TCCCCCTCCCCAAAAGCCCCAAGAGCCAAGATACTGCTCGCTCTTCGGTCTCCCAACGCCTCTCTCCACGTTTTTCACGTCCAACGTCTTGGCGTCTTGGTCCCTTGGCTTTTTGGAGACTTTTTTCTCTCACTGTTGCTTGGGGCAGGCTGTGTCCCTTCCTCCGAGATCCCCATTCTCGTCCACCGTCTTGTCATTCCGTCTTGTCACCTCCAAAATCCCCTGGCCCTCCCCCTGACTCGGACCCCCGGATCCCCTTCCACGGGCCCGGAGGACGTTCAAATGAGGCCGGTCCTGTCAGCAGCTTACAGGCACGAAGTCGCGGCGTTCCTCATCACAGGGCCGCCTGCCGATCCAACGGCGCTGGGTATGTCCATCCATCGGGGATCCGGTCCTCCTTTGAACGGGCGCTGCTTCTGAACAGTGTGATGGACCGTTTTCTTTCGTCTAATTCCCGCGAGCCCGTGCCCCCCTCCATCCCGCCTCCATTCCAGCCTCCCACGCACTACAGGCAGCCATTGACCAAAAAATGTTCCCCCGTCTGTTCGGAGCCATGGCCCCTGTCAGAATGACGACAGAGTTCATTTGTGGCTCCGTCACAAAACTGCGGCGATGTATCCCGTAGAGCAGCAGGATCACAAAGAGGACTCATCAGACTTGACACAACGAGCGACATGGGCAAGATCATCTTCTTTGTAATGAAGCAGTCAAGCGGGAAACGGGTCAGAAGTAGCCAAGTGTAACGGACGGGACACACCCAAACAGAGCCTACCGTCCTGTCCACCGCCAGATGTTTGCTGCAACCTCTCTTTGCAGCAGCGCAAAAACTAAATCACACTATCGCCCCGCGCGCCAAGACATGTCGCGACAGCTCAGAGCGCGGCGGCCGGACACTCGCTCCGGCAATTGATTTTTTTTTCCCTCTCTTAATCATTCGGGGCGACCTGCCTACGGATAGGTTCCGAACCGCCAAATTCCACCAGAGAGATAAAGTCAAGGATTGGATTATGCATTGCTCAGGTGCCTTGTACGCCCAGCCACCGCTTCAACTCTAATCCGTATTGCTGAGCCTGCCGATGATCAAAATCCTACCAGGCGACAATTAAAAAAAAAAAAACCCTTGCACAATCGATATTAATCACCGCAGATGGGCCACCGCCGAGATCGCCCGGTTCACCTTTGTTAAGCTTAAGGAACTCGGAGGGACCAACTGAGACTAACCTATCTATTCAACCCGCCTCCAGCCTGATGAAAGTCGATAACGTATGGTGATATGGGATTTCTTGGCAATCTCGCGGACCGAAAGATGTGCGGTCAACTTACTCGTCTCTGGAGTTTTCGCTTTCGGGTCTTGCGACGTTCCACCCGCTCTAGTTTCACCACAACGGCAAACTAGAAAAGCCGCTGTCGCTGTTGCTCGCATACAGTATCACTACACCGAAGCGATCTTGGGTTGTGGCCACTGCCTGGTGGCATCATGTCCCGTCCTGTCATATCCTGCTGCCGCTGCTGATTTGCTGTGGCCGGTGCTTGGCATCACTCACGTGTGTCCAATGTGTGTGTGCCGAGAGTCGGCGAGTCTGCGCCTCGCACAGGCTTAGTCAAAACCGCGGTGCTGCTGAGTGATACATCATCGTCATTGGGTTGGTGGCCTCGTTATTCAGTAATTACAAGTTGACTTGAATCAAGCTTCTTCCTTGTGTGGACATAATCTCGACATCCGGTGGAAGCAATTCAGCCCAGCAGGGCAATTCGGGATGTGGGCAAATGGGATGGGGCGGTATGATGCCTTGCTTGCGCGCTTGGGGTTACTTGTGTTTTCGTGCCCCATCCGCTGCAGGTGAGTCTTTTTGGCCATATCACTAGTCAGTCAAGTCTAAATGTTCGTGGATATGACAGAACTATCTCTATGGCTTCATATTTAGCCTCCACTCATACAGAAAAATGAGAGGTATCACCTTTCCCAACAGCATTATGTTCGCGGGGATTGACATAATCTCAAATATGAAGAGACTTGACGGTTAAGCTGAGTCGTGTGGACTGGCAGTTGGGTGATGAACCTTAACAACATAGCTTCACTCAAAGCTCTTTCAAATCACTCCGTCATCCAGACACAAATAATATAAATCGAATGAGGTGTTTCTCCATACATGTCATAGCATAGAGAAGTAGTTGAAAAATGGTTGAACGCCGGCCACCCGAACATGTATGCTCAGCTGTAATGACACCATTTCCCGTTCCCGCTGCTGTTTGCTTTCGTTTGGCCAGTCGTTTCTTATTACCTGTGGGGATTTCTTTTCTCACTGATTTTTCGTCTATCCAAAGGCTTCGATACAGGTGCCTCCGACTTCAACGAGTCAATCACATAGACCACCAGTGGTATCGACCACCTTGCAGAGGCTTCAAATGAAGCCATATCAACTAGATATGATCTAGTGCCTCAAGAACTGGCTGCTAATGAGCATATTCTACCCGCTGAAATGGGGCAAATAGGCTAGCTTCTATTTAAATCAATACCCAATAACTGTATGATAGTTTTGCTAACTTTCTTAGGAGTTATAAATGAAATCAAACATTGATAGCTCTAAACATGCTTGATCGGTTATACCGAGGTTCTCAATTTGAATTAATCGACCGAGTTGTTGTGCTGTCCACCGGGCGGTTTTATGAATCTATAATTGTACGACAACCGGTGCCACCAAAGCCTCTCTATTCCTCCATTATACCTGCTGGATAATATCTAACCAAACTCATTTACCCTATGTGGCGTTCCTGATCCTATTCCGCATGTGTAAATATTGTGTTTTTCTGGTATGAAGTTAGTCATCCTGCTGTGGCATGACCTTGCCTAGCTACAATGCCCAAATCTCCGGCAAGCTCTCAATCGACTTATTTGCTGATAAAATGTAACGCTCTCCGCCATGAATTCCCACTCCATCTGGACCACCGTTCATCTTGTTACTGTTTGAGATGGGCGTAGGAGCTAATCTTCATTCTGTGGTGAATACCGCCGGAAATGGCAACTTGGGGCAGCCACATACCGGTCGCGAAAATATTCCACGGAGGCGCTTTTCAAGCCTTTCAAGCCCAGCTGAAAACTGTCTCACAAAGTCTAGGCCTTGAAATTCAGTCGGGATCACCGGTTGTAATGCACAAGCAGCCGGAAAAACCATCGCCTACGACACGTTACTGCAAGGGATGAATGGAAACGCTTATTAGGTAGGTATTATGCTAACATCAACGCTAATGCCTAATGCAAAGAGTCATAAACCGTGATCACAAAAGAAAAGTGCCATTTTCTTCGGCTAAGCCTGATCCATCATCAACTCCCTAAGATACACGCAGCTTTTGCTCGAGAAAGACCCTCCCATCACCAGCCTGTCTTCCGCAAGGGGAATCAGCCGGAGTAGGTCGAGATGGTACTGGTCAAGAGATTCTTGATGTTGTCCAAGACGCTCTTGGCGTCAGCCTGGGAGCCTGAGTCGATGTACTTGAGAAGACCAGTGCTGAAGCCGTCGTATTCGCTGCTGAGAACATGGAGGTATGGCAGGACGGCGAATTTCGAGGCCAGAGTGTTGAGAAGGCCTTCCGATTTGGCCTGTCCAAGATAATCAAGAGCCGTTTTGGCGTGGGGGTATACATCGTCCTCGAGCTTGTTGATAATGGTCGAAGAATCTGAGGCGGAGAATACAGTGTCAAGCTCCTGTACGTCCAACATGGCCTGCCGGTTGGCGGACTGAATGGAGATGGTGTGGGAGATGACAGAGGAGATGTCGGACATTGCTTTGATGATGCCACCAGAGGGGCTTTGAAGAACGTCGGTGAGATTTGTGATGGCCTTGTCCAGGGCGGTCAGGTCCGTGACGATTGTGTCGGCGGTTGGAATGATCTGGGGCAAAGTGCCCATTCCCCCCTGGGGCTCGAAGTCCGTCAGTATCCGAGGAATGACGGCCGCCGAGACTGTGGAGAGTACAGCACAAGAGCCAATAGCGTTGAAGAAATGCATCTTGTCTGAGAGTAGACGCAAGAGATGGCGGTGGTGTTGTTGGTATCTGGAGAAACGGTTTTGGGGAAGATATGAAGCTGAGCGTTGAAGATCTGTCTAACCGGCTGTTGACTGGAGTTGATCGAATGGGTGATTCACCCTCTCTGCAAAGAAGGGACAGAAGGACCGTATTTATCATCGTATGCAGGCGCCGATCAACCCCAAGCCGGCCAGCTTTTCGTCCCGACGACCCCTAATCGTCCGCGGACCTCGAGCAACAAGCCTTTCCGAGACATCGCTTGCCCTCTGCGGTGTCTCACTCAATCACATCTAGCTCATACAGGCTCCTGCCAATCCGCGAGGGTCCGACGTGAGCCACAGGGCTAGAACGGTCATCAGCCTGCGTTGGACGTAAGGTTAATCGCTCGCCCTTACGGGCGCTACGCAAGAGGCGGGCTTGATCCGCAGTCGACAGCCCCGAATCCGGGAGCTACGGTCTGGCTGCATCCGGCCGGTAGTCAAAGGCGGTGCTTATTTTGCGGGGGGTGAAGTGACAGGCGCTAGGACTGATTCGCAAGAGCAGCTGATTACGAAGAGGTGGTCTAGAGCTCTGCGAGGAAAGGGAATCGTTGATCGGAGGGTCAAGATGATGAAGACTTTTTGCATCGGGCTAAGTGGACGTTGAATTGCGTCGGGGAAGGATTGTCTGTTTGCGGTCCGAACTGTTACGGGAAGCCTGCTCGGGTATCGCGATCACCGACTACACGGTGGTAAAAACTAGTGTATTGTGGAATTCAAGCGACGTCAGACTAAAGCTTTTGCGTCACTCTTGTTGTAGAATTTTGCCCGTCATCTTGAATCGTGCCCGGGCCGGAAGTGATCCAGATCGCGGGCCGGCTGACTACATGGGGAAAGTTGAGGAATGTGCTTCACGAACCGGCAACAATGCTATAGGTGTCTTGGATTCTTGTCGTCATTCTTTTTGAGGAGTAAAGACATCTCTCTTACATACACAATGCTATTGCTCTCCGTCTTCCAGTCTCACATTCTCAATTCGGCGAACGATAGGGGCCTGGCCAGTATTTTCCTTTTCAAAGGGGTAGACGCCCTAACAGGCAAGAAATTTGCACCTTTGATTCGGGACTCATACGGGAGATTCCGGCAGGCTTGTTACCTGCGTGAGTCATCATCTCTGTCTGCGGTTGCCCGGGTGCTCCCGTCTTTCTAATCGCTATCAGATTTGACGATCGCGTCCACCTTCCGGCCTGACGACCGGCCGTCCCTCTTTCACCGACGGCATCGGGTCGATTCATTTCGAGAGTTTCGCATCTAGATTCACGTGATTGAGTGAGACAGCTTGATTCAGAAGCATTCCCGAACCTGTCCAGGGACTGATCGGAACGATCCCAGATCAATGATACTTCCAATGCGAGCCAGAATGATTTGTAGACCGATTTTGTCGGCCAGTCCTTTCGAGATCCCAAAGAAGAGTAGGAAAGGAATGCGCCATTAAGTTCCATTCCTGCAGCCTGAAATTATTATCCTCAAAGCAATTCTGCTCCTTGAGCATTGCTGCAGTCGTAGTAGGAAATGAAGTTCGGGATATGGGGTTAAGCCGTAAATGTAATGGCATATACGGAGTACCGAAGAGTATGGTTGATTAGCCGTCCATTCTACGCACATATTCAAGATAAGTTTTAAAAGGTAATGCAAAAAAGCTACGGTAAGTCCGACCTCCACGCGTGCTCTGTGTGCACCGCCTTCACCAACGTGTAGTCTACTAGTCCGTGGTGTGCAGGATGGCGTCGTGGCGTCCGGCCGTAGCTTCTCTATGGACCGGGCCAGAACATCCGTTAGTAAAATCAGATTAAGTGTAAACGTCCAGGAACGATCGGGATGTTAGTGCCTTGATACCTCCAAAATTGGGTTTTGCTGCCTTCATTAGTAACTGGATAGTGGTGAGAATGGCATGACACTATCGTTCTCGCACTTGGCAGAGACCATAGTGTTGAATCGAGGCATCTTTGTTTACCCAGGTTGTCTAGAAACGATTCCCATCGCAGTATGCGGTTAAGTAACCTATGAGACTCAAGTCTCCAAGAGGGTTTGAGCAGAATCTTCGTCTTCCATAGTAACACGAGCAAGGCTGAGCTGATTGATTGAAGCAAAGCAACGATGTTAACGAGGATGGCGGTCTGGGAACACAACAAAAGTTTTGCTCAGGGGGAAACATGATCAATTGAATCCCGTATGAGACATCAGAGACGTTCATATGAAACCATCCATTAATATCTCCGGCAAGCGGCTGTGATTAGTGCACTTCATGTCTGTGGCCTTTCAATCCCGTCAAGAGACTCTGCCAGGAGTATGGTGACCGGGGTTGCTCCCTACCTCTTTCGCTCAAATGCTTCTCAGCTTTTACAATCATGAATGCAATTCTCAGGCGACTGCTTTTTTATACCGATTGCTGTTTGGCAACGATTCTGGTGTTTGGCTGAACGTTTGACGCTTCGGGACTCTCGGACTGCCGGCCATCACGGCTTTGCCGACACACACGTGGTTGCACCCGTGGAGTGCCCCTCTTATCTCGCATTTCTGTGATGCCTCGGGGACTGCATCAGGCAAACGCATCGCCCTTGGCTGCAGTCGGATCTGCAGGCATGCTGTGTCCGCGAAGTGTTGATTGGCCCTCTTGCACAACAACATGGGTATGATCACGCTACAGAAAGGCCCTGCAAGAGTTGAACACCGGGCCAACAGCCCATGTCGCTCCGCCGTCAAGCTCCACCAACACCAACAGGTGTGCCTGCTTGTCGCTTTCCCTACCCCTCTTTCTTCAACGGCGTTCGTGGCAACTTTTGTTTTCTCTGAACCTCTCACTTCCCAGTGGTTTTTTTTTTTTTTTTTTTTTTTTTAGAAGAGCGACTGTTCGCCCGTGCGACTCGAGCTTTGAAGCTATTCAATTGTGTCGATTATCGTACAAGATGTCGCAGCAACCCGAAGAAGTCCCCGAGATCCAGGCCGTAAGTTCGCCGCCATCACCGTGCTTGCTGCAGATTGGCAGTCTCACATTCGCTGACGCGAGGTGCCGAATCATAGGATCCTCAAGTCATTGCTGACCTTGAGTCCGAGGCGGGCTCACTCGACGATGACGGGAGGAACAGGCGAGTCAACTCGAAGCTGGAAATCGGAAGCGAGTTTGGAACTAATTGGTATCCACATAGCCTTCGAGAGTCTACGGCCTCTCTGAGCTCCAGTGTACGCGAGTTTCGTACTATCAAGGGCAGAACCTATCAGACATCCAACACCATTGACTACTGGTGAGTATGACTTCTGCCTCTTGCGAGACTGCCTTTGCAGCCGCAAGATTTCCGAGAGGTTGTGCGCTGTGCTGATCATTCATACTAGGGCGCCGAATGATGATAAGCAGCTGGAGACCTTCGACGTAGTGTATGCTAAATTCGTCACGGCCTGGATTGCTTTGCGCGGCTAATGGTTGAATAGGCATCACTTCACCTTGATGCTCATGGATGACAGACTCTTCTATGCTCCAGTTCCGGTGGAGAAAGGCGACCTGGTAAGTGAACTCGAAGGTGCGGATCGAACCGACGGTTGACTTAATTTCATAGAAAGTTCTCGACGTAGGCACTGGATCGGGTCTTTGGGCCCTGTAAGTCAATTAGTCCAATCCTGCACATCATCAAGGACCTATCTAACGCGCGTAGTGACCTTGCGGACGAATTCCCAGCTATTGAGGTCATTGGGACGGACATTTCAGCCGTACAGCCTAGCTGGGTCCCGCCGAACTGCATCTTCCAGATTGACGACGCCCAACTTGATTGGACTTTCAAGAGGGACCATTTCGATGCAATCCACGCTCGCAATTTGTACGGCGGCATCGACAACTGGCAGCGTTTCTATGACCAAGCATTCACCCACTTGAAGCCTGGCGGCTGGTTCGAGAGCATGGAGTTTGACATCTTGGCTGGCTCTGAGAACCCCGAAGTCGAGAATGACCCGAACCATATTTTTAAGAAGTGGGCAGGTCTCTTTTGGGATGCGGGTGACATCATAGGCCGCAGCTTCCGCCAGGCTCAGTACAAAGGCCCGAACGAGGAGATCATGATGGTAGAGTGCATGAAGGAAGCTGGCTTTGTTGACATTGTGCATAAGAAGTGGAAGGTGCCCATTGGAGGCTGGGCCAAGGACCCATTTCTGAAGCAGGTTGGGCACTACGCTGGCCTCTTCATGGACCAGTCACTTGATGGATGGGCGCTCCAGCCGATTGGTGAGATCCTGGGATGGACGTACGAGGAGATTATGGTCCTCGTTGCGGAGATGCGTATTGCTCTGAGGAGCTCGAAGTCGCTGCCGTACTTCAATTAGTAAGTGCAGTCTTGGGACGTGAAACATGGTTGCGATTGAAGCTGACCAAACAACACAGCCATATGGTGTACGGCCGGAAGCCGGAGAATCCGTCGGTCCCTCCCCCTGCTTCTGACCCGGCACCGGTCCCGACACAAGCCGCAGCTGCGGCATCTCCAGCACCGGCCTCGGCTCAAGCTGAGGCAGCGGCATCTCCGGCACCGGCTCCGACTCAGGGCGAGCCTACGGCATCTCCAGCACCAGCAGCCACATCCCCTGGAAACACGTCGGCCAAGGCTACGTCCCGTACGCCCTAAGGAAGAAGTACGCGTCAAAAGCTCTTGGGGCTTGACATGTAATAAATTAGGAAATCCAGTTTGCTTTCAGACTAATTCCGATGCTCTTTGCCTTGGTTTGCACTGTGCCGTGCCTGTATCAATGTTCAACCTGTCGAAGAGCGTTGTTTAAACATGAATTCACAATGACAGCTCTTGCTTTAAGAATTTGGCCAACGTTCCAAACAAAACAAGATGTGCTTTTGAAGAAATACGATCGAACGCTTGTATCCGGAATTCTGGCAAGGTGTCGAGCCACAAGATTCACTCCATGATGATCACTCCTGGGTTTGCTTATTCCGACAATTCCGCCGCCAAAGTCGTGCTTCCGCCAACAGCTACTGACCAATCACAAGTGCCAATTGAAGCAGCTCTGACACTGCGGTATGTCTCCTATTCTCCGCAGGACTCAAGCCGCTGACATCCGTCTTCCCCGCATCATCCTCCCGCGTACATGCATTCCCGCCGCAAAGGCGCCCCATTCGGCATGGAAAGGCTAGTTGCGGGCTTTCCGCAGTGTACTCGTAAGGGCGTCACCAGGCAACATGCCCTCCGTCGTTTGAGCATGTCTTAGCCAGGAGCAGCTCACATAAGATCAGGTCAGGCACCTCCTGGGCCGCACCCGGGTAGCATCATCCGTCACCAGAATCACATCATCAACAACTGCCCACACCCCTTGACCTCCAAGATGGCTGACCAGCACGACTACACGCTCTACTCCTACTTCCGCTCCTCCTGCTCCGCGCGCCTGCGCATCGCCCTCAACGCCAAAGCCATCCCCTACAAGACCGTCCCGACCAACCTCCTCAAGGACGAACACCTCTCCGCCGCCCACCGCGCGCTGAATCCCTCCGGCACCGTGCCGCTGCTCGTCAACCGCGCTGACGCAGACTTCAAAGTCACACAGTCCGTCGCGGCGCTCGAGTACCTCGAGGAGACGCACCCGGACGCGACGCCGCTGCTGCCGCAAGACGCGAAGCGCCGCGCCGCGGTGCGGAGTTTGGTTAACATCGTCTGCTGCGACATCCAGCCGGTGACCAACATGCGCATCATGCGGCGTGTGAGGGCGCTCGGCGGGAATGCGGAGCAGTGGAACCGCGAGCTGATGGCGGATGGGCTGGCGGCGTATGAGGCTGTTGCGAAGCAGTGGGCGGGCAGGTGTTCCGTGGGGGATGAGATGACGATGGCGGATGTGTGTTTGCTCCCTGCGGTGTGGAATGCGGAGAGGTTTGGGGTGGATTTGAGCGTGTACCCGACGATTGGGAGGGTGGTGGAGGGGCTGAAGGAACATCCGGCAGTGGTGAAGGCGCATTATTTTAATCAGCCTGATACCCCTGATGAGCTGAGGATTAAATAGACATCGCACCCTCTACATTTCGAAGGAGGAAGTACATAGCAATACCGAAAATCAAACGTTCTCAATCAAGCCTGAGATCCCAGTATGATTCGCCCCTATCCAAGTGTCTTTGAACTCACAATTTCATGATATTTCATCTCAATCAATTCTATTCAATTACTTTTCATACCAACGGTAGCTAGAAAAGAGGCAACGCAGCCTCAATCTTACCAGAAACCTCGCCGAACCCGACCAGCGCACCGTCCTGCCCGCTCCAGCCGCGGATGACCAGCGTGTCGCCGTCCTGCAGGAACTTGCGCTCCTCGCCGCCGTTCAGCTTCACGGCCTCCTTACCCCCCTTGGTCTGCTCCAGGATGCTGCCCTCCGTGCCAGACTCGGTGCCCGAGATCGTGCCGGAGCCGAGCAGGTCGCCCGGGCGCAGGTTGCAGCCGGTGATGGTGTGGTGCGCAATCATCTGCGGCCACGACCACAGCAGGTTCTTGGAGTTGGTGCGGCTGATTGTTGTCTTGTTACCGTTGGCGGCTGCGCAAATTACACGTTAGCACACACTATGGGGAAAATTGGTAACTTGAGGGATACTCACTGATCAGATCAACTTCCAACTCAATGCCCAGAAGGTTATCCTTCTTCTTCTCGCGCAGATACGGCTGCAGCTCCGTCTTGTTCTCAATCCCCGCCGTCTTCGTCCCTTCCAGCGCGTCCGCAAGGACCACCCACGGGCTAATACTCGTCCCCATGTTCTTGCTCGTGAACGGGCCCAGCGGCACGTACTCCCACGCCTGGATATCCCGCGCGCTCCAGTCGTTCATCAGCACGTAGCCAAAGATGTGCTGCTCCGCCTCGTCCACGGGCACCGGCTCGCCGAGCCTATTCTCGCGACACAGGAACATGCCCATCTCGAGCTCGAGATCCAGCCGCTCGCAGGGCGCCAGCACGGGCACCTTCGGGTCGGCGGCCGGGTTCTTGAGGATCTGGCCCCACGGCCGGCGGATCGGCGTACCGGAGACGACGACGCTGGAGGCGCGGCCGTGGTACGCGACGGGGAGGTGCATGTAGTTGGGCTGCAGCGCGTTGGCGGGCCCGCGGAAGAGCACGCCGACGTTGTAGGCGTGGTTTTTGCCGGCGTAGAAGTCGGTGTAGTCGCCGATGGCGAGGGGCAGGTGGTTCGTCACCTCGGCGGCGGGGATGAGCGCGCTCTTGCGCATCTCGGCATTGTCCTTGAGGAGGCCGGCGTGCGGCGTGTTCTCGGCCAGGATGGACTGGAGGTATGTGCGGACCTCCTTGTGGACGGGCCTGCCGAGCGCGGCGAAGTCGTTGAGGGTGGGCGAGGAGAAGACGGAGAGGCGCTCTTGGATAGAGGGCAGGGCGTGGAAGCCGCCGGCCTTTGCGAAGGCCTTGAGGTCGAGGGCGTAGTCGCCGATTGCGACCGCGGAGCGGTGCGTCGGGTCTGACTTTGTGGAGATGATGCCGAAGGGGATGTTGGCCAGGGAGAAGTGGCTCTTTGGCGCGACGGTAACCCAGGAGCTCGACATTGTGACGATTGTGTGCGATTGTCTCGTCAATTCCTCTGCTGGGTCGGATTGGTGATGTGAAGGAATTGGCCTTTGAGCTGCGACTCTGAGGAATTGAAGCTTTGAAGCTCTCCGGGTACATGTGAGGTCATCTCTTGTTTTGGAGTGTTGCTGCGGCGCTCAGGTACGGCATTCCGCAATTCCAATTCCGGCGCAAGCCGAGCGGAAAGGCAAGGAAGCCGGGCCGCCGCGGAATGGGGGGAATACTGCGGGGTAGCTCGGCGCCGTGGCGGGGTAGCAACATGAGGAAAAGGCAAAGCCGCAGGTATGCGACACAAGGTCCTTTGATGTCGTTTTTCCGCCGAAAAACGCACCTCTTCACCCACGGATGCTGCTGGGTGTTGCATCTTCGGGAGCTAACGTCTCGGCGCAGACTTGTCCCGTCTTGGTGTTGGACTCGAATGAAATTTCCCGCAGAGCCTCTCAGAAGTAAAGATTCTGGTGAGACTTTGACAACTCCTTGGCTTTGCTGTGGCTGTCAGGCGCGTTTCTGTTGCCGGTCTGACCTGTGTTGACTGGTGTCATGGGCGCGAGGAACTGAGGCTCAATGGGTATGTCGACGACAGGTTGTGGATTGGACATTGGCGTCCGCTCAACCGACGGCTGGGGAAGAGCGAGCTGGTCAGACACGGACGACATCAGCGACTGAGGACTCGCTGCGGGCAAGTCGGTAGCTGCATCGTTACTCTCAGTGGCCTTGGACCGGAACCAGGCTTGGACGTCGGTCGGGGTCTGCAACGGGAGACTCTCCCACTCTTTGACGCGATCGACCTTGTTCTGTCTGGGAGTCCACGCTGCCTGCGACAGCAATGCCGGTGACGATGCGGCATCGTATGCTTGACTGTCCATTGTGCCGGAGAGCACCCTGAACAGAGCAGCCTCAGTCTCGGCTAGGCGAGTCTCGAGTTTGTTCAGGTACCCATTGGGAATTCCTCTGTAACGTTTGATGAGTATTGCGACGATGAGGAAGTAAACGCAGCACCATGGGAAAGCCTTTACGCACCTCTTGCTCTGTTCGGGATACTGACATCTGCCGGGCTCGTGGCTGCATTGGAGGCAAAAGGGCCTGCGGGGATGCGTCAGGGTCTTGGCCAGACAGACAGGGGCCCTCGCTACTCACAGCTTTCGGTCACACTGAGACAGTGTTAGTCAATTGGCAAACCAACAGATATGTTCCCTCAGGTCAGGTGTAAGTGTGTATCATGAGGAACATACTCACTCTTCGCTTCCTTTGGCGACAACTCTCGCAGGCAATGGGGCTCTGGAAAGTGCTGCTATTGCCGGCCTCCCTCTCGCTGCTGTTCCGCGACATAACTCTGTGCAATGAGAATACTGATTGAGTGTCAGGTGCCTGGTCCTACGTACAGTATCTCTCTCTCTCCCTGGTCGATCGAGGATCTACGGCGTAAAAAGATCTAGTTCAAGAACAAAAGTCCATCGCCCGTGCGGACAAAGAAAAGTCCGCAGACGCCCCACTTCCCGGAGACTGCCGTGGCGCCGTCTCCACTTTCGTCCGACGTCGCGCCCCGATGCAGCGCGTCTCGCTCTCGTCTCCTTTCTCACCCACTTTCACAGTCACCACTCCCAGGAAGAAGAATATCTCGTTGTGCATCGATCTAACTAACCCCGGTCTTGGCATCCCGATTTTTTCTCACTTCCCTCTTGCATACCGGACAGACCAGACAACATTCCCTTCTTTCGAACGCCTCGGGACACTGGCCTTCGCCATCTCTCTTACTGATTGCCTCCCTCCACGCATCGCATCATGCTCCGGGTCCCCACCGTCCCTCGTGCCGTCCACTGAAGACGGCTTGTTTCTGGTCCTTACTCCTTGCTTCTCTACTACCTCTACCCCCTTTCTCACCTTGACCTACCCAAACTCTCCGTGCCCATACACCCCTCCCCTCAGGATCGCCCGTCGGCGTCGACTGACCTTCCATCTCCCCGAATGGACGCTGTCGAGTCGCCCAATGCCACCTCCGAGTCTGGGACCCTAAGCCCGGCGCACTTCAACCACTCACGCAAGCGCAAGCACTCGGGCTCGACCGACCGTCCCACACGCGAGTATGGGTTGATGCGCGACACGGGCAAGCATGACACCGCCCGCTTCGTCGGCAGCGGCAGCGGCATTCACTTCATCCGGGGCGTCTACGTCCGCCTCGCCCGCAAGTCCGCCCTCCGCACCTCCTCGTCCTCCCAGGCCAACAACATCAACGACCTCGTCCCTGGCGAGGACGACCAGCTGCAGCGCGAGAGTTCTTCTCGTGATGGCGACGACCTGAGCCTGTGGCGGCCGCACGAGCTGGCTCCCGAGGGTGAGGGTGATGATGCTAACCCTTCGTTTGAGCAGCTCGTCGAGTGGTCCAAGAGCTATTTTGAAGCATGGCATCCGACGCTGCCTTTTCTCAGTGCGCCTGATGTGCTGGGCCTCTTTGAAGAGGTGAGCGCGAATGGTATCGCTGCTCTAGGTCACCTCGAGAGGTCGATTGTCAAGTCGATATTGTCCATCTCGTTGGCTGATAGCAGGCAAAGAGTTCCCTTTGCTCGGCCTGTGCCAAGCTCACTTGTCTTTCGAACAGTCGAAGAGGCAATGTCTGCATCGCAGTTTGCCCTCTACCAGCCAGCATCAATACAGGCCACCCAAGCAGCGCTCGCCATACAACTCTTTCTCGCATCGATGCTGCGGCTCAACTCAGCTTCTCGACTAGGCGGGCTGATTGTCCGCATGGCCTTCCACCTCGGCCTCCACCGCTGTCCCTCACGATACCCCTTCTTCACCAAGGAGGAAGCCCATATGCGTCGAAGGGTGTTTTGGTGCATCTACTGCAACGAAAGATTTCTCTGCCAGGCATTAGGGCTGCCCCTGGACATCAGAGACGACGATGTCGACGTATGCTACCCCGGAGAGGAAAGACACGGAACACCACTCGACGGCGAAGACAACCGCCTGCAGCTCCTCACCTACCTCGTCAAGCACGCCAGAATACGGGGTCTCATTCTCGAGCTGCGGAACAAGTCCATACACACCCGTGACGACACCGCAGACCGCGCCAGCTACGTCCAGGCGGAGCTTGCAAATGGTCCAACGAGATCCACGACGCGGTCGAGGACGAGCCGCACCCGGGCGAGGCCTCTGACGAGAACACGCCGCAGCCCCCGATATCATCGAGCCATCGCGTGTTCTTGCTCCTTCTGAAATACGAGTCCATGATCTCGCTCAACAGGCCGATGATGACGTCGGACCCATCGAGCCCGGCGTACTCTGCGGGACTGCAGAATTGCATCTTTGCGGCAAAGTCAATTTTCATTGCGCTGAAGCGGTATCTGACGCAGCACAAGATGTCAGATGATCCGACGAGCGCGTGTCTCTCTGAGCCGATGTTGCAGCCTTCGTTTACGTGGGCCGTCTGGATCAGCGCGTTCATCCTTATTTATGCGGCGTTTGAGAGGCAACTGCCGCTGTCAAGCGCGTTGAAGTGAGTGGACACGCTTGCGATGAAAGGAAAACTTGCACATACTAAGACAAGTGTTGCAGACACGTCGAATCAGGAAAAGACATCCTCCGCCACATCGCCTCCCGCGACACCTCCTGGCCAGAATACTGCCTCTCCGCCATCGACGAGCTCACAGCAGCCGTCCGCGAACTCTCCGCATCCCACAACCCGCTGCGCAGACAAACCAGCGGCCAACCACACCATCCCCCAAATCACCAGCCGAGATCCAGCGAACCCACGCACGCGACCCGTCCGGGGAGCAGCCCCAGCCGCTCACGACACCCGCGCTCCCAGTCCGTCTCCGGCCAACCGGGCACCTCGAACCTGCGCACGCGCTTCTCCCCGTCGGTGGCAGCATCCTCCGGCCGCCCCGACGACACCATCCCCGCTGCCGCGGACACCATGTCCTGGACGCAGACGCAGAGCGACGGGCTGGAGGACGCGAGCGGCAGGTGGCCCACGCAAGCATCCCCGGCGTCTGGCCCGCCTCTCGCGGCGTGGTCCGCGAGTCCGGGCGCGCAGTCGTTCCAAGCTACCGCACCGCAGGACTCGCCCAACTTTGACAGCCAGCCGTTCTCGCTGGCGCTGGCGGCGACGTCGTTCCCGGCCGTGAATAATGCCGAGACGGGGGCGCCGGGGGAGGGGCAGGAGTCGATGGTGTGGTATGACCAGTTGTTTGCGAATTCGTTTGGGGCGATTGATTATCCGTTTTTGGCGGCGGCGCAGTTCGATCCGTCGGTGGACCCTACATGGTCGTATTTGCGATGAGGTCAAGATTGGGCAGGTTGGGTATATGGCGTTCCGTTGAAAGGGGGTAAAAGGTTGAGTAGATATTTGAATCATATGTCGGGTCAAACTTACCAGGAGTTACGGTCATAATGTAGACTGGAGGGTTAAAGTTGAACAAGAAGCTTCGCAGCAATTTTCGAAAGAAACTAAGTAAATGTGTCTGAAGAGTGAAACGCAGGGTAAAAGTTGACTATCAAGAGGGAAGCATTTCACAGTTCACGAGAAACCGAATCACGGCTCAAGTTAACGTATCGAACCGGCCAGCTTCATTAAACGATTTGTCAAATCTAAGCCCTCCAGACCCATCGATATGTACATCAGCATCCCTCATGCCGATATGCCAACCGTCCCATGGAACCACTCTTTAAGCTCCATGTTCGCCCCAGTAGCTTAATTCTCTCCGCTCCACGTTTCTTTTGATCCAATCAGTAGGCGTACTTGGTCGTGCTCGCGCCCAGCTTCTTGTTCGTCTGCATCAGCCAGAACCGTAGCGCCCATGTCCCCGCAATACACGCGAACGCGAACGCGGCGTTGCTGGCCATGGCCGTCAGGTAGCGCGGACCATCGCTCTTGGGGTAGAGGTAGGCCGTGTATACATAGGAAGCGTTGGCGATGACGTTGACGATGCTGATGCTGACGGACTTCTTCTCGGGGGTGGAGCCGAGGGTGGCAGAGACCCAGCCTAGGATAGGGGCGTTGACGGCGTAGGCGCCTGGAGCTGTGTTAGAGAGGTGTCTTTTGAAAGGGGGATGGGGGACTTACCAGAAGCAAAGAGGAAGCAGGAGACGTAGCGCGCGGCTGTGTTGAGCGTCGCGCAGGAGATAACGAAGCCGACGATGGCGAGGCCCATGCATCCGGTGATATGCCACGTTCTCTCGTTGTACTTGCCGGAGGACAGACCGACCATGTAGCCGAAGAAGCCGGAGACGAGGTAGGGAGGGCACGTCAGCACTAGCGTGATGGTCGAGTTGAAGCCCAGGGAGCCAATAACCGTGGGGAAGAAGTTGTTGAACCCGCAGGCAGACAGATGCATGTTCTGGATGAAAGCCAACAGCCACAGCCTAGGGTCACGAACAGCCTGCTTCAGCCCCGCCATCGCGCCCTTGCTTTCCTCAAGACCGACAGTGTCCCTGAGCATCCTTTCGTGCGCGAGCTGGCGCTCCTCGGGCTTCAGCCATCTTGTTGTGAGCGGGCTGTCCGCCAGCGTGAACATGCCGATGAGCGCGACGCCGAAGGTGAGGCAGCCCTCGATGATGAAGAGCCACTGCCAGCCGCTGAGGCCGTGGTTGCCGTCGACGGTGTTGAAGACAGCCGCGGCGATGAGGCCCGAGAAGGAGGTCGCGAAGATGTTGCCCGTGTAGAGGACCGAGAGGCGCGTGGCGATCTCCTTGCGGGTGTAGAAGATGGAGAGCATGTAGATGGCGCCCGGGTAGAAGGGGGCCTCGGTGACGCCGAGGAAGAAGCGCACAGCGACGAGGCCGGCGTAGTTCTTTGCGAGGGCGGTGCAGGCGGAGACGACGGCCCAGGCCATCATGCAGCAGCCCATGTAGATGGAGGGGCGGATGTGTTGGGAGGACATGAGCATGTTGGAGGGGATCTGCATGAGGAGGTAGCTGGGAAGGCGAAGTTAGTTCTTGTTTTGCGAGAATTAGGGGGAAGAGCATACCCGACGAAGAGGATTGAGATACATGTGTTGTATTGTGAGCCCTCGAGGCCTAAGTCTTCTTCGAGACCGTCGAGACGAGCTTGGGCGATGGCGTTTCGGTCGAGCTGGATGAAATGTCAGTTGATTGTAGACTATTGTTTCGAGTTCGACGCACGTAGTTGAGGAAGTACATGGCCCCTGGATTCAATCACATTAGTCTTGGTCTTTCAACTTGATGCAACAGGTTTTCCTACAGAGAGTTGGCATGATTCTCCAGTCCAGCTTTCTCACCAGGGCAATCTCCTCGGCGCTGGTCTTCTTCACAGCTCCAGAGTAATCACCCCCGGCCTGGATCACACCGCCCTTCTCGTCCTCGCCCGTCACCTCGACGAAGTTGTCATGAGGCTTGGATTCGAGGTCCCCGTGGTGCTTCTCAGACGCCATCTTGGTGATGCAAGTTGGGATGTTGGAGTTCGGGCGAAAGTTTAGACGATCAAAGAAAGGGGGAAGGTTGGTTGGCTGGCGAATCAAGCAGCAGCAAGGGAGGAAAACAAGAGACTGCTTTGGTCCGTGAGTTCAGGAAAGAGAAGATCAGACTGAACAGGAAGCCAGTTGCAGCTCGCTCTTAAGTATGTCTCGATCGGCCAAACTTTTACCAGGGATCTCACCGTTCTCAGTCCGGGGTAACTCCACGGGGTTGTATTCGATCATGCCATGTTTCTGGGAGGGTCAAGCGCTCTTTGGCTCGCTATCGCACTCTGACCAAGTGTTTTCTGGGGTCTCTTCGCGTCCCAACAATGAGACCATTACCCTGGCTCCCCCGGACCCAGATTAGCTCCAGCGGACAAAGACAGCACCGGGGCATTTGGGGTAACTTTGCGGGGAATGCGGGGGACGGGTCTGGTTCACAGGTCTGTTCGTGCATTCTCCATGAGGGGTAGTGCTACGCTAGGAGCATATGTTCGTTGAGATTGGTCTGGCTGAGGTTGGTTGACGGGTCCATCGCGTTATGAACCCGGTTGGATGGGTGTGTGGAGACTTGCCCGGATCCAGAGGCGTGGGCCTGACTTACCCCGGATAGCTAAATTGGCTACTAAGTTAGACTTGAGCGTGGGGTTTTGTTGATCCTAGGTCGTGAGAACGTGGCCTGGACGTATCAAACGGTGGGTAATGGGTGAAGAATCTGGGGTAAAACATGCTGTCGGGTCGGTTGAGGTCTGTGAGTTGGTCTAGCAGCTGTCAACTGATCTTTGAAAGCTGCTGGGTCACCGGAGCTATGTAACATGGTGATCTGGATTTCACTGGGAATGTAGGGCACGGATACAAAGTAAGGGAGCAAAATAGTGGCTTCATAAGTTCATAGTCTACGCTTTCTCAACGCGCAGAACTGTTCTATTAGAGTCTAGAATAACACGAATATGAGCCTTCTTCTCTTCCGTGAAGAACGACTCCTGCGTCAGTCTGTCTAGGTACAACTCATAAGCGGGCATGTAGCCCTGCACAAAACGGATGACCTGCGCGTCCGTCATTCCCGCACCTTTCTTCTCCCGCAGCGCCCTCTCCTGGTCCAGCCGCCAGTGATACACATTCACCAGCTGGTCTGTGCTAAGGTGGAGGAAAGTGTCGAAGCGCCAGGAGCCCATGAAGGCCTCGCAGTACCTTTCCAGGTTCTTGTTGATGAGCAGGAGGTGCTCCAGGCTGTGGCCCGCCAGCGTTGTCGTTGACAGCTGCGCTTCGCCATCGGAGGAAGTGCTGTTTGAGGAGGCTGCCTTGGCCTTGTTCCACTTCTCCTCGACCTGCTCAGCCGACAGAGGCTGGAAGCCAAGACACCAGCCCTCGAAGATGAGGACCTCCAGAGGCGGGCTCCGCGGCACGATGTCCCACTCTGCGACAGGCACGCGGCCGCCCTCGCCGCTGAAGAGGCTCTTGTCGAACGCAGGCCACTTGATGCCCTCTTCGCTGCTGCTGGATGCCTGGCAGACGTCGTCGAAGAAGCGCTGCGCGAGCGCTTCGTCGTGTGTACCCGGCTGTCCGCGGGTGCGGAGGAGCCCATTCCCCGGGTTGGACTCGCGCAGGGCGACGAGCTGGTCGTGGTCGTGGTAGAGGTCGTCCAGTGAGAGCGTCCGCGTGTTGACGCCGTGCTTGGCGTTGAGGGTCTGCGTCAGAGCCGCTGCCCATGTCGACTTGCCACTTCCTTGGAGCCCCGACAAGCCAAGAATGAACGGGGTTGAGGAGCCCGCCTGGTGAGCCTTCACGGCCGGCAGGATGTGCTGCAGCACGGAATCAACGGCGGATGCGTCGATCATGACTTTGCTGACCTTAACCCACCTCAAGAGGCAGGATGGAGGGGGAAGATGAGATAAGAGAGGTTCCGCCCAAGAGCCCCGACAGATGTTCCACGCGGGAGAGCGGAATGCGGCTGTTATTATCTTTTGGAGAAAGATTTCGAAATTCGACCGCCGCTGAAACTAATCGAGAACCAGAATAGCTGCATGAAGGTACTTGCTGCGGCCGCCGGTGTTGGGTGAGTTGAGTCGTGAAGAGAAATAACTCAATGCCGTCTCGAAGGATCACACGAGTGAGTGCGGGGTGGTCTTGGTCCGCGGGGTAAGAAAAGACCGCGGATATTTACAACACCGCTCCCCGGACCCCAGATCGCCGCCTCCACCACACACACATCTGCCAACTCCACAATCTCCCGATGTTGGCGGCATCAATCCCGAAGATGTTTCGCGTTCACGCTGAAGATCTAGCCGTTGTCGGCGAAGCTCGACCGATTACAAAAGAAGACACCATCACGACGTGTCTCCAACTCCCATTGCTTTCTCCAATACAGCCTCATATACCTTGACCCCTCTCCCCCAGTCGTCTGAGAACTCAAGTTGAGCTGCGAGACAAATCCCCTCACTTCAATCCCTCAACACCACATCACTGAGCTTTCAGTTTTCTCTCCAAACTCCCTCACAAAACCGCCACAATGTCGCCCAGCGCGCTTCCCGCCAAGAAGTCCTACAGCATCGCCTCCATGGGGGCTGATGGCATCGGCCCGGAGGTCATCGACGCCGGCGTGGAGGTCCTCAAGGCCCTCTCCGAGACCCTAGGCACCTTCGACCTCGACTTCACCGACTACGACTGGAGCTCCGAGACCTACAAGAAGACGGGCAAGTACATCCCCGACGGCGGCCTCGACCAGCTCAAGAAGCACGACGCCATCCTCTTCGGCGCCGTCGGTGCCCCCGGTAAGTAGCCCCATGTTCCCCAGCCTCCGCGATTATCCCCCGGACTAACCGATCGGCAGACGTCCCTGACCACATCTCCCTCTGGGGTCTCCGCCTGGCCATCTGCCAGCCCTTCCAGCAGTACGCCAACGTCCGCCCCACGCGCGTCCTTCGCGGCACCCAGTCCCCCCTCCGCAACTGCGCCGAGGGCGACCTGGACTGGGTCATCATCCGCGAGAACAGCGAGGGTGAGTACGCCGGCCAGGGCGGCCGCTCCCACCGCGGCCTCCCCTGGGAGACTGCCACCGAGACGGCCATCTTCACCCGCCACGGCGTTGAGCGCATCGTCCGCTTTGCCTTCGAGACTGCCCAGAGCCGTCCTCGCAAACTCCTTACCTTCGTCACCAAGAGCAACGCCCAGCGCAATGGTATGGTTCTCTGGGACGAGGTCGTTTACGACGTCGCCAAGGACTTCCCCGACGTCACCCTCGACAAGATGCTGGTTGATGCCATGACCACGAGGATGGTTCTCAACCCCAAGAGCTTGGACACCATCGTCGCGACCAACCTTGTAAGTCTCACATACCTCTACCCCTAGCTCTAGATCATCAAGCTAACACATCGCGAAGCACGCCGACATCCTCTCCGACCTGGCCGCCGCCCTTGCCGGCTCCATCGGCATCGCGCCCACCTCCAACCTGGACCCCACCCGCAAGAACCCCTCCATGTTCGAGCCCATCCACGGCTCCGCCTTCGACATCACCGGCAAGGGCGTCGCCAACCCCGTTGCCACCTTCTGGACCGCCGCCGAGATGCTCGCCTGGCTCGGCGAGAAGGATGCCGCCGACAAGCTGATGGAGGTTGTCGAGAGCGTCACCGGCAAGGGCATCGTGACTGCTGACCTTGGCGGCAAGGCAACGACGAAAGAGGTCACTGCCGCTGTCGTGGCGGAGATCAAGGAGAAGCTCGTGAAGAAGGCTTAAGGGGAGTAAGAGAGAAATGGGTATGAATATAGAATTACGACTGTGCATGAGGAGCATCTCGACATGTCTGAGGGATACCGCGGAGGATGGATAGAACGAGCGTTGGTGTATAGATACATGAATGACAAACACAGTAAAAGTCACAAGCATGATTTTTCATTGGCCAATATTATAGTATTATTTGCCATGTTGTTTGCTCGGTGCTTGTCCGTCTGACGAGGCGAAACGCCGACGGTCTTCCCGTATTCGACTCAGAGCTTGTCTTACTGGAGTACAAGGTATGCAGCTAGATAATATTAGTGCCCGAAATAAGGCTCGGCGGTGAATCTGGATGGTGGATGGGCCGATTGTTAGAGCTGGAAGTGTCGTGACACCGTAAGCTTCAAAGCCCTCGGTCGCTACTCGTCTGACATGAGCCCATATAAATCCTTATCCTGGCCACACTCCAATTCCCAATGCTCGCACATGCGTTTTTTTTCTCTCCCCAAGCCAGATACGCGCACACGCGGGGATACCTAAGCTCTCAAATACTCACACAGACTGACTCAGAAAGCTACAGTACAAGTCATGCCCAAGTCAACCAAATACGATCCGTTTGTGACAACACTCACGGTTCCCCAGGAAAGATTTGAGCGCACCTTGGTGTACACTTTGTCTCCTCAAACAGCAACATTCACGCCACCAGTTTCCTGCTCGGTAGTGCCTCGGTCGATCAGATGTACGAGCAGGCCAGAAAATATAACTTCAAACGAAATATGCTATGGGGATATGAACGTCGGTGAGACGACTACCAGTCTACCAACGGAGTGCTTTCCGGCAAGCTATGATAGAATTTGGAGACCTTGGGGCGGCACTTTCAGTCAGTAGATTGACCCAAGGTTACATCTATTAGCAACCTGCTAACCCTACTGCCTGATCAGGCGATCTACCCAACTTGGCATATCCAGGCACTGCTTGCATAAGCGGCTGGACTTCAGCTTGCAATACCAACATTCACTTAGAGAGTGCCCAGTTTGTCTCTCAAACATGGTGCTGCCCCCCTGATGGATGGGCATGCTTGACGGTCGGCGGAGATGACGTTCCTTATCGGGATTGTGTGAGTTACATCAGTACACCAACCGATGTCTGGGTCAACGTATATACCACAAGTGGAACCACAGAGGTGAAGGTGGCCACGGCTTGGCGAAAAGTCTTTCTCACCGATCTTCCCCGTTCTGGCCCGATCAAGATCAAGCATCCCCCATTCCCACTGTACGGAGACAGTCCATCTAATGACAAAGACAATGGTGAGGGAGGATTGGCGACAGGAGCCATTGCTGGGATCGCAGTCGGAATCGTTGTCGTTGTCCTCATTCTGATAGGGATCACGATATTTGTCTGCTTGCGAAAGAGGAAGGAAAGGCGCCTCGCTCAAAGTCAGGTTACTGCTGTTGAAGTAGATGCATACCACAAGGGGCTGGGCTATGACACTAAGCAGGAGCTTCCTGGTCATGGCTCGGAATCACGAGAACTTCAGCCAATATCGCCGCCGCCGGTAGAATTATCTTCGCAGACAAAACCTTCAGAAGTGGAAGGACAACCTCCTGTAGAGCTGGCATCATGATTGAATTGGGTTAGATCTGGGATGATGTAATGGTGTTCCGTTTTTTGTTTGTTTATTCTTAGATTTTGGAAAACCCACCACTTCGATCTTGGCATCGTCGTTTCAATGGGTGTCATCTCCGCAGTCTTGTTTAGCTTTCAATGGTAGCTTCCTCAGGATAGAACCAAGTTAGGTCTTATCTGCTCAGCAAACCAATCTTAGATTAGATTAACTATCTCCTTCTTCCTTAGTCTTAAGTTTCTTCCACTCCATGAAAAGCCCGGCTGCACCGGCCATTGCAGCAGATGCCACAGCCACGTACAGGGACGTAGTTGAGGCGTCCCGATAAGCTTGCGCAACGAACGGTAGAAGCTGCGGGTCAATATGTGAAGGGTTGATATTTGACGCTCCCAGGTCGGTGATTTTGGTAACATTTCCGGGTTGGAGCTGCGATCCCAGATGGCTGGTCAGTGTGTTCATGAAGACCGATTGGGCGATGGGTGCCCCTAGCACAACGCCCAAGCTTTGCGAGAAACCATTCAAGCCATTTGCAATCGGTATATCTGCCTCGCAAAGGACGTTCCGTAAGGCAGTGAGCGGAACCTGACCGCCGAAACCGAGACCAATACTGGTCAAAACTTCGTACCCTATGATTTGTCCAGCGTTGCTACCGGTGGTGAGGGTCGACAGGAGTCCGCTGCCAAGAGAGAACACCGCTCCACCTAGCACCAGCATTGGAACGTAGTGCTTCGTGTACGTAATCAACGCTCCTGAAGCGATGGTTGCCAGCGTCTCTGGTCCCCCCAGCGCGAGCATGTATAATCCAGCTATGCTCGGAGACAGGCCTTTGGCAGCCTGTAGGTAGAACGGCATGTAGTACGCCAAGACAGTGACAGCCAGATACGTACATGTCGTTGCGATACAGCCCAGTCCGACAGTTCGCTGCGTGACGATACGAAGAGGCACAAGAGCTCTGTGTGCAATTTGAAATTAGCGGGTGTAGGTATGACTCTCTTGAATAGACGCGATGAATGGTTGGGCTTAAGGTCCACGAGGAAGGATGACAGCCACGTCTGACTCACTTGTCTTTCTGCTTGATTTGCAGTAATAAAAATAGAGAAAACAATATCCCAAACCCGATCAAACATCCAAGGACGTTTCTGTTGGTCCACGGCAAGAGATTGCCACCCCACTGAAGGCCCAAAACTAGGCAGATCATGGAGCTCAATATTAAAATGCTACCGGTAGGATCCAGCCTCATTAGCTTGTCTCTGAGTGGAACTTTGGTAGAAGGTCTGTGAGGCTCTGGGAAAGTCATCCAAACCAAGACCATACTAATAGCAGACAATGCTGCCATTGGATTGCGATCAGCATATAACCAAAAATTAGACAGGATTCCGTCGAATACGTACGCAGGTTGAGCCAAAAGCCGAATCGCCAAGTCAGAACGCTTTCCGTGAAAGCACCTCCGAGTACTGGGCCTGCGAGGGCCGCTGTCATCATCATGGAGCCCATCAGCGAGATCATCAAAGGCATCTTCGCTTTCGAAACGATGTAACCGCCGATATTTAGAGCACCTGAGGCCACGCCACTGGACCCTAGACCTTGAACGCCTCGGCCGATAATCAAGGTCATAGAATTTGGTGAAACAGCGCAAATGGTGGAACCTAGTATAACATTACTATCTAAACGAGCGATAAAATGGCCGATAAATCTACCAGACGCTGCACAATCAACTTACCCATGATTACAGTAGCCAAACTACAGCAGAATGTGTATTTCATGGAGAAGAGAGTATACAACTGGCCATAAATGGGCTGAGTTGCAAGCCGAGCAAGCGAGAAAGCTGCGACGTACCAAGCCGCGTCATGAAGGCTTTTGAATTCCGTTGTAATTTTAGGAACACTCGTGGCTACCACCAATCACGGGTTATTTGTGTTCACGACATATGTTGCAAAACCACATTCGTCCGTATGGTTATACATACCGAGAATGTTAACATCAAGTGCCATAAGTAGCACGGCAATAAGTAGCCCCGTTACTGTTGCTGCCACCATGTGTCGTGGAGACTTCACTGCTTCTGGAAGTGCCGGAGCTTGGTTCAGGCCGTCGGTGTTACTCGAAGCAGAACAAATGCTGGCCCTGATGTGGCCTGGGTTGAAGCCAACTGAAAAACGTTTCTCGACATCTTGCGTTGCCCATTCCACTGCGTCAATCTCTGGCAACTCCTCCTGAGGCCTTTTTTGTGGAGGCCCAGACGTCATCTTCGTCTTGCGTCGCGTACAATTGAGCTGTAGGTAGCGATTCACTCGGCGAATTTCAGACGTATAATTTATAATGACACTGGTCGGGAGATTATGGATGCATATGTCCATATCCATTCGAAGATGGTGGGTGCAGAATATTGCATAAGCAAGTCGAAAACTTCTATCACATTAAAAGATAATCTAGAGAAAACATCTTGGTTCTTTTGGAAGGGTATTTCCATTGGTGGCAAAGTCAAAAGCCAGCGTTCCGGACCGGTTCGTCGGTCTATTCGGGTTCAAGAAAATGCATTTGATGAGCAAACCTGAAGCGGACTAAACCCACGGCTGGGAACGCAGTGGCGCCAACCAAACTTTCGAATCACTGCAAACCTAACACAGAGTAGGCAGGCGATAAATCCCGGTGTGCCTCCGTCTTAATAAGCCCTAGATAGCACGACGAAGGTGTTCATGCTGCATCTTATCTATGATTCAACAGTCAACAATTGATAAATGCTTCGACAATGTGCCGGAACCTGATTACCCTTCTGAAGAAACCGAGCACCTCGTACTCTGTTTGAGCTTTCTGCCCATGTCGGCAAAGTCACGGGAGGAACTCTGTTGTAAGACCTTACCTGACTGCTACGTTCGATGCCAAATGTCAACTCCCTGGTTACCTTGTCTTCTTGGCCAACCTAAACCGGGCCCACCATTTTGGGTTTGAACACAACTCCAGACAAAGTCAAAATGTAGGATTGGAAATGGGGCCTTTTCCGCCCGTTGCCTCCTAAACCCTATTTCATAAACTTCAAACACTTCAGATTATTCTGAATTGACTTTTGGTGACGACAAAGCTGAGGTGTTCTTGCCCCGTTAATCAGGGATTTGCTCTTTACTTGCCGATGAGTTGGTTCAGAGATAAATCGAAAGCCGGGGCGCACCGTTAGACGAATTCCACTCAAACGCATGGCAGTTACAATATGTCCAGGTGTACCTGGGGTCGTATTACGGCCCCATTCGAACACTTTCTCCGGAGAGACAACTCTTCAATGGTTTGATGATGCTGCGGGGGACGGCACAATAGAAAGTCGGCAAAAAGCCCGAGAATGAAGAACATTATTTCAAAAGCAAATTGGCCCAACGACAGGTCTAAAATGAGCAAATAAACGAGACGTTGTTTCGAGCTATATAATTCACTATATCCGGGCTTCTCCAAACTTATCCTCCAGCAGTCCAGCAATCTTGCCCGCAAGGTCGTGTATGGTTGCCGATTGTATGAGATCAGGCAACGGCAGATCAACCAACAGATGTTGTGATATCCAGCTTGTTAGCTCATTTGCGTTTAACGAGTCGAGTCCGAGGTCATCCAGCGCAGCCTCCGGCCCAATTTCAGCGCTGGAAAGTGCAAGCAATTGTGCAATAGCAGTCCCAAGCAGCTTGACAATCAGTCCAATTGTTTCCTCATGTAGCAGGCGGTCAGGTGTGTTTTTCGCAATCGCCATTATCGTTGCCAACTCTGATTTCGTGGAGGAAAGCTCTGGTGTGATCGAAGCCAAGTTCTCTGGATGGATACTGTGTGCCGCGCCCGTGTGGGCGTTCTTTTTCCAGAGGACGTGCGTCGAAGGGTCTGCTAGGTGCTGCTTCGACCACAGACCGAGGGCCATTTGGCTGAGGTGCAAATTTGCGTCGTCTCGACCGGATGTTGGGCCTGCACGAGAATGGTGTATGCTGATGGTGATGGCCTCCAGGAGGTCTTCCTCGCGAAGAACGTGGTATCCCGCCGCCTGGGCCCTATCTTGCATATTGCCCGTACTAGCAATGGTCCCAATGCCACCCATGATCCCAATATCGATGACCGATGCTGGGAGCCCAAGATTATGACGGTACCGGACAAAAGCGTCCAGGTAGGTGTTGGCGGCGTTGTAGTTGGCTTGTCCAATGTTCCCGACTAGCCCGCCGATAGAAGAGAACAGCACAAAAAAGTTTAAGGAAGATTGCGCCAAGGCCTTATGAAGATTCTCCGTGCCTTGAATCTTGGGCTCAATGCATGCTCGCCATTCGTCGTATGTCATGCGTAGTATTGCGTTGTCCTGTGAAATCCGTTAGATGATGGTAAGGTTGAGAGAAGGTCTGTCGTGAGGATCAACGTACCCGTAAGACCATGGACATTTGGAACACACCAGCGATGGGGCGATCCGCCGCGTTCACAGCCCTTGTGACGTCCTGCGGGATCGCAGCACTGCCGGCAACCGCTTTGACGACACAGCCTTGGCTTCGCAGCTCACCCAAAAAAGATTCAACTTGTGTCCCAGTGCCTGCAGAGCGAGAGAGAAAAATCAACTCCCCGGCACCATGCTCTGCCATCCATGTTGCCACAGCGCGGCCAATGCCGCCTAAGCCACCGACAAGCAAGTAAGCAGTATCAGAACGAAACTGAGGTGATGCAGGCATGACCTCAACGGACGACAACGGAAAATCGCTCTGCGGGTCGGTTGTTGGAGTTTGGAGCACCACCTTGGTGGTTGGTTGGTTCTTTTGTCCAGCAGCAGCACGGAAGGCCTCATGGACTTGGCTTGGCTTGAATATCTTGGCAAGTCGTGCCCAATCTGCTGGCTGCGCGTCTCCGAGAAAATACTCTTGGCACATTTTCCATACCCTAAGCACACAAGTCAGTTCTCAACTCCCTTGTGATTTTAGTGCTGTGAATTTGCATCAACGCACCGCGGCTGTATGCGCTTACCTTTGCGCCGATTCTGGACTGTAGTGGCTAAGAGCCTGCATGTCGACGATGCGATGGGCCTGACTTGCAGAGATCTTGACTGTTTGGAAGTCTCTTGCCTTGACTGGATGATCTAGAACTTCTAGGAAGATGCCAGTAGGGGACAGATGTTGCAGCGCCCATTCAGGAAAAAGGCCGCCGAATCCAATCATGCAGGTTGCCTTCGGCCACGACAGAGCATCTTCCGGGGCTGATACGATGAAGTCTACAGCGATGCCGAAAGCATTTTCCAAAAGGAGTCTGTCGGACTCGGAAATGATGATGAAGCGGATCTGCCAAGAAAATCGATCAGTCAGCGAACGTGTGCGTGAACCAGAATTTGCGCTTTCACGTCCTTACCTCTGCCCTTCTTTTCCGCAGCAATTCGACGGTTGCGAGACACAGATCGCTCAGAGTAAACAGCACAATAACATCCTTCAGTCAGACGATGGGTCAGTAAACACAGGTAACCCTCAGGATATCCCCCATATACTTGGACGGCAATACTAACCTCCTCGCTTGCCATTCTCCCAAATTCTCCCACTGTGAACTCGGCCGCAACACATGCCAGTGGCATAGCCGCCGCGGCCTCAAACGCGAAATCCTCACCCAAACGCAGACAACTCGACGGCAAGACATCCAGATGGCTGGCTACGGCGTCTTTGCCAGTTGAAAGAATGACGAGTCGGTCTCCTACCTGGAAAGAAGACACATCATCGCCCACGACCGTGACGATGCCAGCAGCTTCCTGTCCGAATAGGACCTGGTTTGGATCGGAGGCCTCCTGGGCTATGATTACATCCTAAAATAACCAGCGATCAGTTACTCACTTATCCTCAGTACCAACGCAAGAACGCCCTGCGCTGGCCATTGTCTGATACGCACCTCTTTGTTTACCGCGGCTGCTTTCACCTCTACTCGGACATGGCGGGCGTCCAGAACCGGCAAGGGGCATCTAACCCATCGCAATGAACCCAAATTGCCTGAAACCCTTGGGACGAGCTTTGCAAACGTCGACGCTCCGATCGTTTGTTGTTGTTCGGAGCATTGACAGAGTTCCTGTTGCACTGTTGTCCACTGATGCCTCGGTACCACGATGCCATGCTCCCTCGTAATCGCAAACTCAAAGTCCGGGTCGAGTGCACTATCAAAGCATCGGTGCGGGAGATGTTGGATGATGAGCGTCAGAGAACTTGCACATTTCTCACTATTTGCAACATCTCCAGGGTCGACCTCGACAATTGTTATGTCGGCCTTCAACTCCGATCGCAGCGTGCGAGCCAGCCCGTAAATCATAGCAGAGCGCGGATCGTCACAGCTGATCTGGGACAACGGTGTGACCCAGACAATAGGGTGTTTTGAGGTGCCGGTGCTTAGGAGTTGGATAAACGCGGGAAAATCACTCTCTCTAAGGTGGTAGATCCAAGGGCGATCCAGGTCGAGGAAGAATATTAGGGTTCCCTCGGTAGGCAGCACGGCAGACTGACTGATGCAGGTATCTGCGTTGTATGTCCGGACGGGAATGCAAGAGGAGTGCAGCACTGACTTGAAACTTTCTATTAAAGCGTGATCTTCCTTATTCGTGACGATGCTGACGGTTTTGGAGCTCGACTTGAGCTGGTCGAGGTGACGCAGTCGCAGGATGGGGGGTACTTTGTCCTCGTGTTGATCACCTTCAGGAATGTCGAAGCCAAGGTCCCGGATAATGGGAAGATGAACATCTTTCGAGATGTGTGTCACTTGGTTTCGCAATAAAACCTGGGAATATGTTAGCTTGAATGCCTTGATTAATGCGTCTGCCCGGCCTGGAGACAGTTGTCGGAGCATGTATTGCTATGCCCATGACTATCCACACATCTGCTCGCAAATGAGAACGAGACCTCCTTTGACTCACATCAATAGAAGTTAGAAATGAATCGGCTAAATATTCAAGTTAGTTACCACTGTTGAACGCGGCGGGTGACAGGCCCTATGGACTGACCAAAAAGAGCCTCCAGCAGGATAAGCACTCCGGAAGGGCGAAGTAACTGCTTGATGTATAGCAAGTCTTGAGAAATGCCACGTTCGGTAGAGAGTATCTGTATATGTATACATCAGTAAATGCTTTTATAATATCGCAGAAAGCGAGAAGACGCACGTCGGCACAAACAATCATGTCATACGACTGAGCGAGATTTTTATCCCCGCCCATCGCATCCCAGCTTCGCACCTCAAAGCCTCGGACATCTGCAAAGTCGTCTTCTGCGTTTTCTAGAGAGTCTGGTGCAATCGCCGCATACGTGTATGTTGAGAAAAGCTGCGTCCCCTTCTTTGGCTGGAGAAGCTCTAGCAATGTCAAAGTCGTATTGTTGGCCCCGCCAGCTGAGCCGACCTGCAAAATCTTCGGCTGAGGATCCGTGTGTGTCAGAATAGGCATCGCAACTTCTAGAAGCTTTTTAGCTCGTAGCGGCCAGAGGCCTTGGGACACGATGGAGTCTCGGAGCGTTTCCTTCGTGTGCTGCAGGGGGTTCTTGAACAACTTCTCCATCGTCAGATCCATGTCGTGTAGATGGCTGCTCTGTAACTCGATCCGTATCTTCTGGTGTGCCGCTTGGCGGTTTTCTATGTTGTCTTGAACAATACTTCGGCAAGTAGTCGCAGACAATACACCGTACCCTGCCTCCTGCGCCCTTTGAATCTGTTGATCAACCCACGCCTTGGTTGCGCCGTGGTCGGGAATGTTGCCAATGTCATTGTTGACTTGAACATAACTCGACTGCATCTCCAATAGCAGGAGAAACAACAAGTGGAGCATTCTCTTGATGTCATCCGCGTTGAAGAAGGGAGCCTCTTGCAGGGTCTGGAAAGGGAAGAAGCTTGCGTGAGGACGCCAGTGAGGCGCGCTGACAATTGGAAGAGCCTCCGTCTCGCCCTGCAAGGAACTACGGATCTGATGGGCCTCAATACCTTCCATGATGGCAATCTCCTCCCCATCATCTGCGTATGCATGGACTGTTCCGGAAATGTGGTCCTGCGCGACCTGATTCATCATTCCCGTTGCCCAAAAGGGCCCAGCGTACTGACGAACAAAGATCCTTTGGATATAGGTAGGTGTGGCCATATACTTGGCTTTTCGCTGCAGACCATGGCAGAGCGAGATGCCTGTAGTCTGTAAACACTGGTCGAGTGCGGTGGGATGCACAAGATAGCTGCAGGTTGAATCTTTTGATGTGTTCTCCGGTGGGTTCACACGGGCTGTTGCTTGCTGCAAACTGGGACTGACCGTAATGTATTCCAGCCTTCTGAAAGAGGGCCCATATGTAAAGCCTAGATCTTGCGTAATCTTGTACCAGGTGGCTCGAGAGAGCTGGCGAGGAAACTCGCGTTTTGCAAAGCCTCTGTGGGCTCGATGAGGCTCCGCGGTAACTACTGTGTGACAGTGCTCCGTCCAAATATTATCTTTCCAGGAAGTGATTTGCACGTCGTAGCTGACAGGCGCATTCTCGTCGGAAACAAGACGTCGCAGTCTGGTATGTATCTCAACTGGACGGCCAGGCTCCAAATGCAGTGCCGCGGAAACAGAGAAATCCTGGGCCGAGAAGGACTCCAGAAGGCCTCCATTGACTTGACGAAGCGCCTGTTCGGCAATCGATATGTACGCTGCAAAAGGAATGATGACCTGATCGTTGACGACGTGGTCTCCAAGCCAGGGGATGTCCTCAAGAAGCAGTACCTTCCTCCATCTCGGCTCAAGAGCACTGGTTTCAAACACCTGGCTTCCAAGTAATTCATGCATGGGGTATTTGCAGTCTCTGTACGCCCTGTACAAACGGTGTTGTCCCTGGAAGGATTGTTCATGGGCCCAAGTATATGCTGGAACGTCGAACAACGTTGTTCCTGGCGGTGTGATGGCCTCATACTTTAACTTGACGCCCTCACAAAAGAGCCGCCCGGCAAGTCTGAGAAGGCTTTCGTAGCAATCCTTATTTTCCTCTAATGTTGGAAGGTAGCTGACTTTGTCGGTGGACGTGCTTTCCATCACCTGCATGATTGGCCTCTTGAGAGAAGGGCGAGCACCAACTTCAACGATGACAAGGTTTGGTGTCTCGATTTGCTCCAGGAGGTTTGTGAGGGCCTTATTAAACAGCACAGGCTGCACGAGGCTCTGGTGCCAGTGTGTAGCGCCCAAGGAGTTGACGGTCTTAACGAGATCTCCCGTGACACTGGAGAACATAGGTATCCGAGGTGTGGCAGTGCTGAGGAACGGGCGAATCGCTTCTTCATAGGCTAACCCGAAGTCCTTCATATGCGCTAGAGGTTTTACACCTCGTATTAGCACTCCATCATCAAATCCAAGTATATCTAGGATTGGCACTAACCGGAATGAAATGCAAGGTCCACATCAAGAAGCTTAGCAAATATGTCAGCTGCTTTGAATTTTGTCACCATAGCCTCAACCGCACACGCGTCTCCGGAGATGGTCGTGTTGACATGGCTGTTCTCACAAGCGATAACTACTCCGGGTAGTAGCCGCTCAGAAATGTCCTTGGAGCCGGCCCCAATCACAGCCATAGCTCCTGGGTGTTGTGTCCCGGTTCTGTTCAATACGTAGCCTCGGAAATATGCGACGATGATCGCTTCATCTGCTGTTATGGCACCAGCCGCAAAGGCAGCAGCAATCTCGCCACTGGAATGGCCGGTCACTACGTTCGGAATCACGCCCCAACTTCGCAGGACAGCGAGGAGTCCGATTTGAATAGCGGTGCTGCACGGTAAAGCATACTCCGATTTCATGATACGACTTTCGGTTTCCGATTTCAGAAGTTCCCCTACAAGATATCAGCATTACCAGAGTCTTTGTAGGATCTCGTGTAAGAGCCATAGACGTCAATGAATAGGCGAAGGGCCATACCTTCAATCGTCCAGGCCGGTTTCAACTTCTTGAGCGCGCCGTCCAAGTCACGAATCCACCGGCGAAAAACAGCGTTCTTCAGAATCAAATTCTTGCCCATCGTGGGCCATTGGGCGCCCTGGCCATTGAACACGAAGACAAGCGTCTTTGGCTCATCGCTGCTGGCGACTGAAAGTCGAAGCTCTGGCTGGCTCGTCGTGCGCTGCCCGACTGTGTCGTTTCGAGCGATGAAAAATCCTCTGTATTTCAGCTTCGTTCGTCGACAACCGAGAGTGTATGCCAAATCCGACAGTTCACACCGTCCTGAGCTTGCAATAGTGTACTGCTCGTAAGCCTGGTGGAGCAGCTCTAGCGACTTTTGATTTGACGCTGAAAGCAACAGAACGTTACTTTCATCTGTGTCTCTTGAAGACGTTTCCATCCGTGGCTGGATATAGCAATCAGCTTCGAACCACAGGTGGGGATGTTCTAAGATAGCCTATGAGTGTTAGCTACGGCTGAGATTAACGAGTTTTGACATCAGGAATTGCGGCAAAATAGGAAAAGAAGGTCATTTCATACATGGCAGTTGGCACCCCCCATCCCGAACGAGTTCACGCTAGCTCTCCGCAAACGATTCAGAGGAAACGGTTCAGGCTCTGAAGCAACCCTAATTTTCCCGCCGGCCCATGGCACTACACGTGGATATGAGTTTATGGTCAAAATGTGTACGGACAGGAATCTCGATAAGCACTTACGATTGGGATTGGGTGCGTTGAAGTTGGTGTTGGGCGCAATGACGCCCTTCTCAAGCATAAGTATCACCTTGATGACACTCGTCAGGGCAGCGGCACCCTCTGAATGTCCGACGTTGGGCTTCACCTATGGTCGCAGAGAAAACAAAGCTTGGTCAATCCTTGAATTGCTAAAACCGGTTGGTGGAATAATGTTACTTACAGCACCGATGATGACGCCTTCTTTGAAGATCCTTTCTATGGCTCCAAATTCAGTAAGATCCCCGATCCGCGTGCCCGTGCCATGGCATTCGAAGAAGGACGTCTCAGAGTACTTGGTGATTCCGGCCTTGTCATACGTATGCCGAATAAGCGCCTCTTGTGCATACCCATTAGGGATTATCAGGCCGGGCTCTCTGCCGTCATGCTGAGTAGCAATCGAACGGATCACGGCCCGCACGGGATTTCCATCTCGAAGGGCCTGCGACAGTCGCTTCACATAAACGGCATTGATGGCCTCACCCCGTCCAATCCCATCGCTGGCGGCGTCGAAGGTCTTGCAGACACCATCCGGGGAGGCGATGTTTCCCAAGGCCCCGGATGCGCCCGCTGCAGAAAGGGGCGCCGACAAGAACAGACTGCAGCCAGCCACAAGCGCAGAAGTGCATTCTCCTAACTCTAAAGATTGAACAGCGAGGTTCAGAGCTACCAGTGACGATGAGCACCCAGTTTTCACAGTCATGCTGTATGTAGACCCTAATTAGATTGCTTCTCTCACAGTGTAGTAAATGGGAATATCCCGGGTTTCTAGCTTCACGTACCTTGGGCCCCGAAAATCAAACGCATGCGATATTCTATTTGATAGCATAATATCCCACTTGCCAGTTGGGTAGTTGCTGTAGTATTGAGGGTCCCGTTGCATCTCGACACTCCAGTCCTCAAAAAACGAGCCCACATAGCAGCCGATCGTTTCGCCTTGCCAGTCTGTCTCGCCAGCATTTTCAAGGCACTCCCAACTAACCTCCAGCAGCAATCGTTGCAAAGGGTCCATCTGCTCAAGCTCACTTCGACCATAGGAAAAATGCGAGGCATCGAACCGGTCGAGTTGAACGTGATCCAGGAAGTATGCCTTCTTGGTTTGCATAGTCCCCGGGCGTGGCTTCTCGCTATAATACCCGCTAATGTCGAACCGGTCTTTTGGCACCGGCACGGATGCGCAGCGCTTCTGCATCAACATGTCCCAAAAGTCATCCGCGTTGCTGACGCCTCCGGGTAGTCTCATGGCCATGCCACAAACGACCACCGGGTCGTCGCCGGAACCTCGACTGACATTGACGTGTTCGCCCATTGTTGAATTTGCGCAACCAGAGCTTCGATCAATACCGTGTTTTGCAATTGTAAATGATGATTGAGGATTCAATCTTGTTGCAGTTGGCTACTCCAAAGCCACTCTGTGAGGGCGTCATAGTATGGGTGCATGTATCAGCGCATGCAATTAAGAGGGCACAGCCGTACGAATACTGGGTATGAAATTCTTACCGCATAACAAACACTGAAATCTTTATTCAATTAACGAAAGAAAGATGTTTGTCCGTCAACCCCTCGAGTGCCAACAAATCCCGATAGCATCGGCGAGGTGCCGTGGCGGTTACCGCTACTGCGGTAAGGTTTCTGGGTGGCCGTTGGAATACTCAGACTTTCGCCTCCACGCGGCGGAAAATCGCTCAGCTCCCGATGCGCACTAAGGACTTCTCGACCACTTATCCTCGTACCTAGTCCAAGGGAAATTTCTAGCGCGGAATCCAAGTTAAAGTCCGACCATCCCACAAGACGCTAGAACAATATGTAGGTTTAAGCAGACTTTACCTTACTTTAGTGAGAATCTTGTGATGGCATGTTATTCAGCAACAGAGTTTTGCCCATCTAAGTACATGCGCGGGCCATATTTGCTCAATACGGGTAATTTTCGCCGATGCAGTCCTCAAGTAAATCACTGTAGCCGGTCGAAAGAACGCATCTCCCAGTTCGATCGATGGTTGTAAGTTGTGATAAAAATATGCCAAACTACACGCCGCTGTAAATCGAGATCTGCAGTCTATCCAGCAGAAAAAGTGCAATATCACTATGAACAAAATGAATCGCTCTCGTCAAACTCGTGCAATACTTCTTATACATGGCAGCGGTTCGTCTGATGCTATATACAAATTCCAAACTTCCAGAATTCGGGCTACTCTGAAGGACAAGTTCACATTCGTGTTCGCAAGAGCGCCTCACCCCTCGGAGCCCGGCCCGGGAGTGCTGCCGTTTTTCGCCAAAATGCCGCCTTATTTCACATGGTTCAGGAAGGGAATCGAAGCAACTAGACACGAGATTGCGATCTTTAATCACTGCATCGAAAACACCGTCCGGGCCTGGAAAGCTGATAACCCTTCAGGAGCGATTGTTGGGGTATTGGGCTTTTCTCAAGGCGCCATTGCATCGACACTACTGCTGTGGGAGCAACAGGCCGGCCTCATACCATGGCTTCCGGATATGGAGTTCGGCATCTTGGTTTGTTCGGGATACTCCGAGGCCATGAAGACGTGCATGCGGGACCTGGACAACGATGACCAACGCGAGGGTCAAACCTTGACAATCAGGTTACCTACTTTGCACCTTTATGGACGGCAGGACGTATTCGGCGCCCCGTCGTCTAAGAAAATGTTTGCAACACATTTTGTGGAAGACAGGGCCCGATTGGAAAGCTTCGATGGAGGTCATGAGCTTCCCCGAGACAAAGATGACCTTGAGAAAATCAGGGACTTTGCAGTAGCTGACCACATGATAGTCAGAGTGAGGTGCATTTGAGTTTTACGTTGTTTGGTATTTACCTTAATCTGTTGCTATATATGCCCGTAAGAAAATCAATAGAAGATGTACAACTTCGAAACCTTTTATCGCAATAGCATGTTTGCCACTTACAACCAACGCTACAACCTAGTTCTCTATGACAATGACCCGCACCGTCCGTGGCGTATGTAGTGATCCGACAGCAGCATACATTGAAAATACACTGCAAGGACATCACAAAGTATTCAATCCCCTCCTCCAAGAGTCCACACTTGTGGATCTTGCATCCCACAAGCTGTGAATACAGTGAATCCGGTATGGTTCCTCCACTTCAAATAAATGCCAAGGTGGTAATCACTTGCCGAGCAGCTTCCCTCCTTTCTGTTCTTAGCTCAGCAGCAAGATTCTGGGTATTTTCACGGATTCGTTTGCCTTCGGCTTCTTTTGTCTTGCGCAAGATTTCCTCAAACTCTTGTCTTACAGCCTCTTCGCTACCAATGATATCAGGGCCTCCTCGTCTTGCTTTGGCTTTGGCGCTGCCGGTCCTGATCTGAATAAGAATTATAAACTTAGTCGCTGGACCGTCACAAGCGTGTACTGCCAAAGCCGGTGCATATCGAAAGGCTTACCTGCATGATCTCAAATGCAATAGGTCTATCCCTCGTTGACGCCAATGCCACGTTGATAGCATTATCTCCAGGAGCTAGCGGCCAGCCCACGAGTGGGATGCCCTGGACAAAGCTTTCCATCATCGAATTCCACCCACCGTGGGCAAGTAAAAATCCTACCGACGGATGCTGGAGAACTGCTTGTTGATCGACCCATGTATCGCACACAAGGCCGACTCCGCTGCTCTGAATATTTTCTATGTCTGAAGCATCGATGAATTTCTTCGCATGCATCCCCCCAATGATCAAAATGAATGGATACTTCATGTCATTCAAGGTGGATATAAGAGCCTGAAAATTGGCGCGATTGGTGGGGAAGACCATAGACCTAAGATAAAAAGTGTTAGACTGATGGAAGGCCACTTAAAAGCGCGGCTCCCGGGGGTGTAATAGTGGTGGGGCTTCTTACCCAAATGAGATGACGATTGCCTCGTCCTTGGCATGGCGATCAAGATAAGATCGTATTCTCTCATCCTCAATCGATCCGTCCCGGGACCAGTTCTTTGGTCCTATCTGAACTCCAACAGGATATACAGTAGTATACTTGTTGCAAGCAGTAAGAGTTTCTCCTTCTAGTGCCATCGCTGAAGCACAGATGATGCCATCAGTGGCTTGGACAAGCGTAACGGTCTCCCGGAGCAATGAAGAGACGACTTCAACCAGGATTAGCATGATGTCCACGGGATCAGCTCTCGCACAGAATGAGCAGCTTACCTGTCCTAATCATGCCAAACTCGCCGAATTCTCGTTCATAGTCATAAATCTCCTTACAACCAGGAATGCTTATCACGGTTCCATTGAAAGCATCATGTCCATTTTTGGCAACGCAGACCTATGAATGATAACCCATCCATCAGAATGACACAGTGACAGGGCGACAAGAATTCGTATACTCACTTGCTCAACTATTTCATCAAAGCTCCTTCCCTGGCGCAGGGTCTCGTCGGAGAAATACTTGTGGGCAATCGATTCCCAGTCGCTGAATCCCCCTTCCGATGAAGGTGCGAGGTAAGAGAAGAGACGGGCAGCACTACCTGCCCAATATAACAGGATTTTACATTCTGTGCCTGAGATTCGTCGCGCCTGCGGCAGAGTGTCTAATGACCCGATGTGATCCAGCATCAGCGCTGTTGGCCTTGGCCACTCGCGTCCCGGTTTGCTGATCTGCTGTAGCGTCTCCACCCATCCCTTGGACAACTGATTTGTGATGTCTTCGACCGTCACACCCTTATTCTTGAGCAGACTAATATGATTTTGATCAATGATCTTAACTGCTTTCAGGAAATACTGCAATACTCACTTCGGTTCCCCAACTAGGAAAACATGGAATCGCTCTCGTGGCGCATCCGAATATTGGCTGAGGTCTAAAATGAAGTCAAAATCGCACCGTTGCGTCACTCGTGCTTCGTGGCACAACGCTGTGTTACGCAGCAGATGTTGAAACTTAACCTGGATGAGATCTTACCTAGAAAAGCGTGAGATACAAAGGTCACAACTAAAGACTGATTCACTTCAAGCATCTTGTTGATGAGGGAAATGGTACTGGTGACATGGCCCCAGGCAGGCCAAACGTGCCAAACATGGTGTTGTTGGTAAGTCATGATAGCTCATATAATTTTAACCGAGATAAAACTAGTCTGAATCGCAGCTTTCGAGGTGAGGGTTGAAATAAGAGAGTAATTACTCAAGCTTTGTGGCAGTGGAGCTTAGTAAGTCGCAAAGAAATAAGGGGCAACGAAGGGATCGGACGGCTGGACGGAGAGGGACAGTTAAAGTTAGTGTGGATTTCCCGAGAACAAGGTTCTTATTTTCGGGAGACAGCAGCATATGCAATTGGTCGTATGGTTTATGATTGAAAGCAGCGCTGTGTTGTTTTCTACGTAGTAATTGAACTCTGGAAGATGTGCAATTTGTACGACACTGTTTGTCGCCCTGAGGTTTAGATGCGACGTCAGCTTTCCATTCGGACTACAATCTTCTCTCCTGATACACCCTTGTGCGTGAGCAACTCCAGGCCCTTCCGAATACCTTCGAATCCATCTTCCAATATGCGGACGGGATGGTGGTTCAGTTTGCCCTCATGCACCAGTCTCTCCGCAATTTCCCACAACTCAACGCCCAATGCACGCATCTTCTCATCCGGCTCGCGCCCATATGGCGCTGGATACGTACAGCCTTCGCCAAAGATACAGGGACCGACAACGAAGTCTTTGGTCACTACCGCACGGGTTGCGGCATGCTCAGGGAATGGCTCGAGTGCAACGTAGTTTCCTCCCGCGCGCCCCATTGCGTTAAAGCACACGGTTGTAGACTCAACGGTAGAGATACAGTCCAATGCATATTTCAAGTTGTTTTGCGTGTGGGCTTTCTTGGTTACGGAGAGAGATTAGCCTCAGGAGTCTGTTTAGGTGTCAAAGAAAAGAGCGGTAGTCAATTTACAATTTTTTGCGCAACGTCCTTGTCGAAGCGATCGAATACGTCCTGAGCACCATTCTTTGTCGACAAATTGAAGTGTTTTGGAGAACAAATCCCTATTGGGATCAAGCCCGCGCTGTATACGGAGTACGTGGTCAGATGGGCAGCACCGAAATGCTCGAAAGGGTAAACCGCCCAACAAGTGAGGAGACTTACAGTCTTAGCAGTTGCATAGCAATTGTTGCCGTCGCAGTACTACTGCCGTAAACGAGCACATATTTAGCTTTCGCAACAGGCTCATTTGGCAACGGTAAGCCTAGCGATTTTATGGCTAAACCAGCGGTACATATTCCAACAGGTATCGACGCTGCTGATTCTATCGTCCAGGACTCTGGAACCCTCATCCACATTTTGCCCCGCGTCACGGTATACTGAGCGAAAGCCCCTTGTTCTGGCGTGTACTTGAACATCTCGTTTTGTGCTCCGCATACCCGATCACCAACTCCAACGTCGACTACGTCTGGCCCCACTGCAACGACTGTGCCAGCAAAATCAGCACCCATGATCGCAAATGGATTAGCAAAGTCTGTCTTCATTTTTGTGTTGCTCGGGTTTAGAGCCACAGCTTCGATGCGCACGAGAGCTTGGTCGCGAGGCAAAACAGGGCAAGGGGCCTCGTTCCACACAAAGAGCTGTTCCTTTTCGTCCATAACGAGAGCCTTTTGAGTGGATGGTGGCACGAATCCATTGGAGTGTAGCGCCATTTTCAATCTATTTGGCAGAGTCTTGTGAGGATGAGATTCTCCGGTGGCTTGGATGGGTTGATGCCCTCGGGAGGCAGTTCAGTCTCGGCATGGCAAGAGAATGGGCGACTGCCTGTGGAGTGGCACATGTGTTAATTGCCTTATTGAATAAATGCTCCACTCAATACATAAACCTTTACATGCACGCTTTCCTAGTAAGACGAAGAACATTTTCCCCGATCACCCAAAATTGCATAAGTTGTTTCGTTCGTCCCTTTAACCGGCTCAGGTTCGAGAAGCGAAAACGAAAAAGAAGCCGCAAGCGAAATGCAAGCGAAATACGAGAGAAATGCAAACCAGCGAGTTAAACTGAGGGGAGAAGCTTAAGACCAGAAGTTTCTTGAACAAGGGGACCGTCTCAACTTGGCCGGCGGGTAAATTGCCCTTTTTCAGAGTTTTCATAAACCAAGTGCCATTCCGGCGGGTTGGATAGGTTGGAGTTCGGGATGTTCGTTCTCTCAATGCGCATAGCCCGAACCCGCCGCTGCTAGCCCTGCTGATCCGGCATCCATCTTTGCTGCCGAAAGATCTGCTACGGCAACTTTCGTCAGAGCACCCTTACTACTAATCACGCCAGCGCCCCGTGTCGCCCGTTCATGGCGCCGCGTGAAGCGCTTCAGGAAAGACTTTTTGCAAAGAGCGTAGGTTCTCAGCTGGCCTGTAGACCAGGAACATGGTGTATGCAATCCCCTCTTGGTGTGTTCGTTCCAACTATAAACGTGGACCGCTGAACTCTATGGAAAACCCTATGTCCATGCACACACACGCGCCGCTTCCTCGGGCCGTATCTGAATGTGGAGGGATGGAACTGTGGGTCGATCTCGACTATTTACAGTTCGTCAAGATGATCAGGTCCAGGCAGTGGTCCATGTTGTTACTGAACCGGGAATAGCACCATGATACGGGGTGTCTGACGGTGAGGACCATGTGTCCGACCAACGCAAATACGCAAGATTTGGGGTTGACGCCATTTAGGGTTAAAAGCTTCCAGCTCATATCCTTTCAGCTAGTGGATTAATTTAAATCGGACTCTTCTTAGACAGAAGCGGATTGCAAAGCGGGTGAATGCTTCTCATCCGGAACTATGTAATAGGCTTTTGTCGACGCAATCAACAACCGGAAATTCGTCAGCCTGAGAAATTCAAAACGCGAAGTTCGTAAGTACTGCTTGAATTGGGGGCAGCCGAATACATCTTACGGCCAGCGTTTACCTATGCTTCCCAGCGAGTGTAACGACGGACTTAACGTTAAATCTGCAGAAATGCTGACTGCCAAATGATTGCGTCCATAAACCAGGGTTGGCTGGGATCTGTGTGGGTGTAGCGCTGGTCTAATTCTGCAAAGAATGTGTTGTTCACAGTCTTGACAAGGCACACTTTGTAGCGACCTCGACGCAAATTGCGGAATCATTGGAAGAGCGCAGGAAAATGGACCAAATTCCACTGCGGCCCCTGGGTAACAACACAATCAGACCCGCATACAACCGCAAGCAATGGACTAATCGGATTGTAACTGTTGATCAGGTCCCCTCGAGAAATACCTCGTTCATCAGCACGAAGTCGGTTACTACAACGTCGCGGTGCTTTCCGCAGAGTATTCCTTTCCTAGAACGACACCCGGCTTTCGAAGTCGAGACGTCCTTGGCTTAGTCTACTCGGCCTTGGGAAGGACTCTGAAGTGTCATCCCATCTTGGGAGTTACCCTGAAGGACGAGAATAGTCCACAGCCAAGCTTCAGCAGGATCGACCGCATTGATTTACGAAGAGTTGTAGAAGTAAAGATATCAAGGTCAGCTTCAAATACTGCCGCCTTGATACAAGCAGAACACCAAAGGAAGTTGGCGCGACGACGCGATGTTCCTCTATGGCGATGTCTGCTGGTTCTCCCGACGGACAAGATTGACCACAGCCTCGCGACTTCCTTCATCCTGGCACTTGTTTGTCATCATGTTGTCGGAGACGGGATATCGATGATCTCCTTCCACAAGACCTTCTATCGATGTTTCAACCAGCTCCTGTCTTTAGGAGAGATATACCCCTATGGAGAACGTTTCCTTACGGGAAATGAGGTAGTTGCCGTACCCAAACTTCCGTTGGTGCCCTACTTGGAGGAAAGCATGACATTCCCTATGTCTCGATTGTACATCCTGCGTCTACTGTTCAAGGCACTCGTGTATTATCCTGTCGACCCCTTAGAATGGGTTGGACCGCCCATTGGAAGCGAGCGGCCGCCCTTCAGTAATACGCGATACTTCTACCTACCACAACAGGATACACGCAACCTCTTGCGCCAATGCAGACAAAATCGAACAAGCATCACAGCATTATTAACGGTTCTGGTGTCAAACGGGCTGTCCGTTTTGTACAAGCCTAGCACGCGTTTCACGGCATCTGTACCCTTCTCATTAAGGAAGTTTTCAAAGCATGGTGAGTACGACATGGGATGTTTTACGAGCATTGCGGAGCCGCGCTTTTCTGCAGATGCCAGCCCACCACCAGGCTACATTCCATGTCAGAGCACTGCCAACAGTCTTCGGGCTGGAGACAACAGGTCGCCTTGCACTGGCGACTCGAAGATATGGGCATCTGCGCATACGTGCAAACAATTTCTGCACCAACGGAGCGCTTCAACGTCGAACCTCACAAACGGTCTCATCAAATTCAGAAAGGACCATCGCAAAGGACTGCTAGAGCTGAGGGGGACATCCAGGCGGCATGCCTTTACCTTGACCAACCTTGGGGTCGTAGATAGTGAGACTTCTCAAATCGACGGACGAGCTGCTGGGTCACGGGCTAGTGTTGACAAGTTTGTGTTGTCGGCGGGATCGGCAACTAACGGAGCGCCTTACACCATTTGTGCAATATCTCAAGCCGGGGGTTACATGGGCATCACCGTGAACTGGGA